CACCCAGGTACTTATAAGAGTCCACTATCTCAATGTCTTTCCCTTGGATGTTCACCGATGTTGTAGGGGGTGACTTCCTCCTGGAGTCTATGATCATCTCCTTTGTCTTGCCAGCGTTGATTTGGAGTACGTTGGTCTCAGACCAGCCAACAAAGTCACTGACGACCCCCCTGTATTCCTGATCATTCCCGTCTGATACGCATCCAATGATGGCTGTATCATCTGAGAACTTCTGTAGATGACAATCGTCCGAATTATAACAGAAGTCTGAAGTGTAAAGGCTGAAGAGGAAAGGTGAGAGAACCGTGCCCTGTGGTGCCCCCGTGCTGCAGATTACCACACAGTCATGGAGCCTCATATACTGTTGTCTGTTGGTAAGGTAGTCGATGGTCCATGCAGTCAGCTGTTTGCCTACTCCGGCTCCCTCCAGCTTTCCTCTCAGTAGTGCAGGTTGGATGGTGTTGAAAGCACTGGAGAAGTCAAAAAACATGATCCTCACAGTGCTCCCCGCCTGCTCTAGGTGAGAGAGGGATCAGTGTAACAGGTAGATGACAGCGTCATCTACCCCCATTCCAGAATGGTAGGCGAACTGCAGGGGGTCCATCACTGAGCCCACCAGTGGCCGAAGGTGGTGCAGGATGAGCCTTTCCATGGTCTTCATCAGATGAGAAGTCAAGGCAACAGGCCTGAAGTGGTTGGGCTCCCTGGGGTGTGCAATTTCTGGCACCGGAACCACACAGGAAGTCTTCCACAGTTCAGGAACCCTCTCCAGGCTCAGGCTCAGGTTGAAGATGTACAGGGCCACCTGACAGAGCTGGTCTGCACAGTCCCTGAGCAGTCTGGAGCAGATTCCATCCGGACCTGCTGCCTTCCTTGCCTTCGTCCTCTTAAGCTGATTTCTCACCTGATCAGCTGTGAAGTAGATGTGAGGCTGGGCTGGAGTGGGGGGTGGGGCTGGCTTTGTTGTGGGTAGATGTGTTATGTATCTGAAATGAACACAAGCTGCTTTAGTCACACTGTTTTGTGCTATAAAACATTCAGCCATTTTCTTCCATTTATCCAAATCAGAGTAAGTGGAAGGGAAAAAGATGAGGTACACGGTGGGCAGGTTGCTAATCTTTCACAGAGCTAAAACTTAGTGTTAATTTAGAGTGACTAGTTATCCTAAAGCCACTAATTGCATGTCTTTGGACTGTGGGAGAAAGCTAGATTACTCAGAGAGAACCCACACAGACAGGGGGGAGAACATGCAAGCTCCACACCGAAGGGCCCCAGACCTTCTTGCTGTGAGGTAACAGTGCAACACACATCCTACCTCACGATTCACCTGAATCCTAGTGAAACATTTTAAGAATTTTATGTGTGATTAAAATGTTTTTTTTTAAATTAACTTTTGTTTTAGTCAAAGAAAGGAGGCACAAACAGCAAATACCCTGCTTTTCTGGTGCATTTAAAAAGTATCACTGACTTGAAAATCAGCACGTACTTCTAGTTGTGTATTCATATATGTAGATATCGTTGTACTTTGTGAACTGCCCATTGAAAACAAATTCAATTTGTGTTAGAAAGTTTAGGTAGTTTTGAAAAGAATACAAAGCAACAATAGCTGCTTTGTATTCTGGGATTAAAATGACATGATTGCTCCGAGTGCAGACAAAAACACAGGTTTTGTTCTGAGCGACAGGACAACATCTCAAATTTAAAAAAAAAGCTGAATTGTATTAGTTAGGGCCATTGATATTCTGACAGTCCTGTTTGAATATCAGTTCCTTGGAGAGAAGAAAATGTCCCTGGTGAGAGAGAGAGAAAAAGAAACAAAATGCTTTAAAATGCTCACGCGAATCATCTTTTAGTCATTCTGCTGGGCTCCCACTCTCAGTGATTTTGTTTTTTTTAATACTTAAGTTACACACGCCACTCTTCACTGACACAAAGACACTGGGTGGACTTTTTATACATTCGGTAGGATTTGTTGACACACCCAGATATTATGCTGGTGCAGCAATTTTCACTTCATTTGTGCAGTTACTGTGCTAAGGTTTTTTTTGTTTTTTTTTTAAAGCTGGCAACCACAGAATATTTTCAATGTGTGAAATATGGATCACTGACTTCCAAAAAGCTCTCACCCACAAGCTGGGGGGGAGGTTAAGAGCAAAAAAAAAAAAAAAAAAATCAAATAAACATGAGGCAAATTCTCTCCCCGTTGACATCAAAGTGGCTCACATTTGCAAATTTTTCTTCTTTCAAAGTTTTTCAGGGGTTTATCATTTCAACTTACTTATTGACCATAAAAGGTCTCCAGAAAAAGAAAAAAAAAGATCCTTTGGTTGTAGCTGTTCATCATCATCTCCTCCCCTCCGTCATGTCCTCTCTAGCCTGCTGACACTGATGGTTTCTAAGTGAGTATCTCATCCAACTCTCCCTCTCTCTCTCTCCTCCTGTCATAATCACTGCTCTTTATGATCGGTTTGCCCTCTCTGCCCTTTCAAGATGCGGCGTGTAATGAGGGCTCTGGAGAACTATGTGAGTGGGCTATTTAGCTATTCAGACAAGATCAGCTCACACATCCCACGCTCTCTCTCGCTCGACTCCCTACCAATACCTTTCAGCTGAGTGCAGTGATTGTTTGTCCTGCTCACAAGGTCACACTGTGGATGGAGCCGGAGCAGCTCCGCATTCAACATCCATGACGGGCCTTTTAGTGTCTGCTCACCACATGGAAATTGAATGATTAAAATGGGCGATTTAAATATTCAATTCGATACTACTGTCAAATTATTTTGTATAGCTTAATAGCTGCAAAGGCAACATAAAGGGTCAGTTTTCTCAAATTAAAATAATAATTATAACATAAAAGACATATTTCCTCCCACCAAAATCTGTGCACGCCGTATGAATCCATCATATTTTACACCAGCAGCAGCTTTTCTTTTTTTTTTTTTGCAATACTGCCAGAACTCATTAACCTTGAGTTTCAAGTACTGCTTGTACATGCTGTTTGCAGACACATTAATAAGCAGCAAATAATATTATTTCTATTAAGGCCCCCCAAAAAACTTGAAACTTACTCTGCAACCTTCCCCACCCACTGGATAAACAAATTATGTCCATGAGTGCTTATAGATGAACCTGTACAAATTCTTCCTGCAATTCATGTCCAGTCTGCTTGTGTGGGTTTTCCTCCCACAGTGCAAAGCCAAGCATGTTACATTAATTGTGGAGTTGATCCCCAGTTAAGAAAACGAATGGATGCATTTCCAGCAATGAGACTGAAACTAATACACACACACATCCTCCCCATCCATCCAAGCAATCAACCCCAAACGCAAAACAAAGACTGTATGCACTATGTGAGTCAGCACATTATAAATCCAAGTTATACATATATGCAGTAAAAATGTTTAGTTTGTTTGTGCCCTTTTCTTATGTCCTTTGATTCTTAACATTAGTGGAAAATTAACTCATATTGCTGTTTTTAATAATATGATTTATTATGATTTTCAGTTGTGATTGTTCATCACACATTAGTAACATAACTATTTTAAATCATATCTAATTTACCACATATAAGTGTTAAATTGGAACAGATCGAAAGCGCATCAAATCTGACTTTTTTGACCCAATGCGACCCATGTGCGATCATGGTATGACAGTGTGAACGGCACAAATCCGATATTTTCAAATCCGATCTGGGTCACTTTCGTATGTGGTACTGAATCCGATACATAGCTGATGTTTCAGAAAGCAACTGCTGTGTGAATGGTCATGTCGCATTAAATCCGTCTTTTACGTCACTGACACAAGACAGACGCCAATTATCAGCGCCCGAGAAGACACTGTGAACGCTTCCTGGCCATCCAGTGTAGATGTTGAAACTGTTGGGAAAACAACTTTGAAGAAACGTGAACATTTTATTTGTACTGTATAATCTGCAGATTCTGACAGAAATCTGCAAATATCCTTTGGAGCACCGCTCCTCTCTAAAACAGCAATAAGGATAATTATTAAGGCCATATGTAAATAACAAAATAACTTAAAGCAAAATTGGGAAACGTAAAGTCCGAAACAAGTCTTTATATTAAGGGTCTAAACAGAGCGCGTTGTGTGTGACGTCTTCTTTTGCTTTGAGGGTTCACACTAGAGCGCATTTGCTGTCACATTTTATTTGTAGTGTGAACAAGCAGACAAGAAAATCGGATTTGATCAAAAAATCGGAACTGAGCATTAAGACCTGCAGTGTGAACGTAGCCTAAGATTCAAAGCTTATTACATTAGAAAAAAGGAAAAAAAGAAAAAACCTGCATGTGTAACATGAGTTTAATAATAGAATCTAAACTCTTCTTCAGTTGGTTAAAAACCACAAATTCCCAGAGATATTCTGAGGACAGAAACTCAGGGTCCTGTGTGGCAGTTGTAACACTGCACACGCTAACATGTACTACTTATGTAACGTGTAAGGGAGAAAATGAACATTAAAACTTAATAACAACAAGTTTTACAATCTTTGGTTTTACCCCACATATTGCTCAGTTACAGTATTTGGTCTAATGCTTAGATGACCCCATTAAGACCTCAGTAAGATCTAGATTGCTCAAAACAGCGATGCCCATCTTGCGCAGTGTCCACTGAGGGACACATACCAGGCTGGACATTTCTTCCTGTTAGAAGCGAGTTTTTCCTTCCCACTGTCACCAAGTGCTTGCTCATAGAGGGTCATCTGATTGTTGGGTAATAGAGAATAGAGAAGTCACAAGTTAGGACTAGTAATACTCCTAACTTTACAATATAAAGCGCCTTGAAGGATTTGATTTTAGACAAAGAGAAATTGCTAGATCGTTAGATTTTTAATCTACTCTGTTCTCACCTCTGTCCCTGTAGTTTAGACTAAGCGCCAACAATGTCCATGCCTGCTAAACGTGCACACCTGCCTCCACCGTGTGCATGCGTCTTTTAGAAGCACCGCCCACCTCTGATTCTTGACCTATGATCGCTCATAGGCTTTCAGCGTCATCTCCCGTTGGACTTGCGTGTCAACATGGCGGCTTCCATGGCATCCCAGGCTGTAGCGAAAGGACTGAGGATAGCTACTTCAAAGCACATACTTCTTGATAAAGCGAAGGTAGCGTCACAGCTTCTCTTGCTGATGTTACGGTCTGCTGCTCGGGCTGGGTGGCTTCGTCGCTGACAGCGTCTCACGGCTAGGGTTAGCAAGTTAGCATGTGTGAGCGGACAGAGGTTTGACAGATCAAAGTTGAACAGTGTGACAGTTCACAGGTGACGTAACAATGCCGTCTTCAAGTCCTGCAGTAGCTCTAATCATGGAGGCTGTTAAATATACGCGCTGCTCTACAAATGATAGTTATTCGGCAAGAGCTTGTTTGAGTAAAGCTTTTCTAATGCGCTCCTGCATGTGAATGTTACTCGTGTACACTGTCTGTCACTATAACTGTGAGTCTGTAAGTTTGTGCGTTTAAGATATTTTTAATTTTTCTTTATTGCGTATAATTGAACTGCAAGGGTCTTCTCGTCAGTAAGTTATTTTGCATGCTTAGGTTCAGCACTTCTACAGTGGGCTGTGTGACCTCTGATGAGCAAAAGTCATAGTGAACAAAACCTCCAGCCTGGCCCCATTTCAGATAAGACCCGAGTAAAAAAGGTTAACTCTTGCACTTTGAGCTTCCAGCATGTGCGTGTGAGCTGGCAACAGCAGCCAGCAGAATTCGCCTGATTAGGGTTGTCTAAGTACACAGTGGCAAATGCTTACAGTTGCACAGTTTCTCATTTAGCAAACAAAGCATTTGGTCTGGTAATTGCAAAGAGTCTTAAACATGCTGCCAGAGCTGCAAGACATAAATCCCCACACCCCTGCACTGTATTGACTAACAAACAAACCCAGTCACACAGAGTTGTGCTTTCATAATACATTTCAAAGCTCCAGGACGAACAGATGAATAAATTAGCATGATATGCTGTACTGTCAGTTTGATGCTTTTCTGCGCAGTCGGTATCTGAGAACTGGTCTTTCAGGTTGAGGTGCTTGCATAGGTATTTGGAACATTAGTACAAATCACCATAGTGGGTGGACAAAGCAGGGACATCTCATGCTGTGTTTACCTTTCATATTTACTCCCAGATGGATTCAAATGGATGGTAACTTATCATCAAACAGATTTCATGTGCAGTGTGGTAGAGTATTTTTTTTATATAGGTGTTGTACCTGGAGGAAAGGTGATTGACTGAAAAATAATTGTGCTTTATGCTGATAGAAAAGAAAATATGTAAATTGAACTTCTTCTTTTATCCAAATTTGTCCAGATTAGCTTGGTAAGCTCCTAATACTAAAACTATTAGACATAATTACATGCTACGTCTCAGTATCAGAATTCATTATTATTGCTTTTCAGCTTTAATATTATGACTTATTACAAAGTATTGTCAGAAACGCATGGAGGTTTTCTTTTTGTGTTTTTGATATGTCTTATGTTAAACTAGTTGCTTGCTTCTCTGCAACCATTACTAAAGTATAGAGAGGCCAAGTAATGGCCCACACTTTACTCCGATTATAAACCTGCATATATCTGTGCGTCATGCCTCCCCCCCCCTCCCCCCCCTTTTCTTCATGTGGCTATTGCACATAGCTGCATTACTTTCTTAGTCCTTCCAAAATGTGGGCAACCTACAGCTTACCTTGCCGGAACATCTTGGATTGGATGCTGCTTTGATAATGTGCTCTTCACACTGTGCCTTCTATTTAGCCATGTGTCTGTGTCTGTGTTGTTTTTTTTTTCATGATTGAAAACCTTTGTTTTTATTTAGGTAATAACATTAACCAATGTCCCAACCAAGGCAACAAATTGCATGAAACATTTCCATTATTTCTTTTCTCATTTTCCACCAACACATTCCTTAGAGCAGGGAATGGGACCCCCTGTAAAGGCTGCAATTATTATAATTTTTTTCCTCCAGCATTAGAAAAAATGCTCTATAGGATTACTAAATCTGCTATTATTATATATCAAATATAAGTGTTTTTTATTTATTTAAAAAAATATATTTTTCATCCATCTAAGAAAGCAACTGTCAGTTTGCTAGTGGACGACAACTTCGCTCTTATTTTGAAAGGTCATTTGACGGTTAAAATCTGGCCTTTCCAACTCCTGTTTTTCCAACTGGCTATCTTGCTAGCCGGGGGTGGAAAAAGAAGTGTATTTCTTTTTTAGCACTTACAGCACCAACTATATGAAATATCTCTGAAATTGAGGAACCTGCATCAATAACCAGCCTATCTGCATAAGGTAAAATTTAGATATGTCAGTGGAGGCCTGAGACCTGGCCTGAACTGTTCCTTTAAAAAGTAAACTCTAACAAAAGTTTTTATCTCATGTTTACTGGCTCTTTACCTGCTCGTCTTCTGCTTCTTTCACTTCTTTCGCTTCTGTCTCTCTCTTTCTCTCGTTCGGGCCAGGTGATAAGAGTAATGATCGGGGATTTTCTCTGGTGTGTAGCACAGTATCAGGGCCTGAACAGATTAACAGTCAGGTATCGCTACAATAGAATCAAATCAGCTTTGACAGTATGTCAGCTAAGCTGTGGAATTCAATTTGCAATGATTTGTCACCAACAATGCACAGGACATTGCAATATTCAGATGGTTAGGCTCCAAGATACTCCTTAAAGGAGGAGTGAGATGTTATTTTTTTTTCTCTCTCACACTCTCTCTCTCTCTCATAAATCAAATCTCCTGAATTCTTGTCTGCACACCGAGATAATCCTCGGGTTGTTTTTCACTGTCGCTGCACAGGGATGAATTTGTAAACCTTTGCTAAGTTTTTATTTTTTGTGTGGCGAACGTGCTTGGTAATACCCCAACTGTGTTGAAGCCCAGCGTGGTTTGAAGGGGTACACTGGGAAGAAAGGTGTCTCAATGAGACTCAGTCCTGAATATTTTACAGAACAGGGTGGAGAGCCCTCTGCTTGCAACGGCTTCTTTTGCTGGAACTTCAAACGACGGGAGGCTCCCCCATCTGTCTCAGCAAGAACACATTTACATTTCCTCCCCGCAAGGGATACTGGAGGACGAAGTTGGCTCTAACTGGATTTGAATATCGTTCGCCAAGGTTAATAGCCATTTCTGTAGCTGGTGAGGTGCTTAGGCTTTTTCAATAATTTAGAGCGGCTGCAGTCATTAGGAAATGTTGCCAGCCTCTGCAATGAGTAAATGCGCTCCTATCAGCTTAACTTATGCTGTTGTGCCTGTGTAGATAATGAGGGAGAAGTGGGAGTAACGCTGAAAATTACTTGAGAAAACAATGTCAGTGATGGCTGACAGGCGTAATTCATTAAAAGTGCAGTATATTGAAGATCATGTTCAGCTTCTCTATCATTTGTGAAATGAGACCTTCAAAGATTGAGTTTTCCTGGAACTACCCTTTGTGCAAGTCATAGGGATCCGATTCATTGAAAATTCTGACTGGGTCTGGCTGGCTGATCTCTCTGTGCCATAAAGGCGGTGATTCCACTAGCACTGCGTGAGTGAAGAGACTGTGTTACAGAGCACAATGGCTGCTGCCACTTGTAATAAGTACGCTGTAGTACTCTTTGCACAGTTTTGCCTAGATATCGACCATCTCGCCTGCTTAACCTTGGCATGCATGCCATGATCATTTTTAAAGTGGTGACGGCATATTAATCTGAACTTATTGATGAACAAGATAATTAAGCCATCAGCTAAAAGCAGTGCGTGGCTGTTAAAGCACAAGGGGAAGGCTTTTGCAATTCATGAGCTGTGACTGAAGGTTTGTGCCTGTGGCAAAGTTCACAGATATATGGGACTGAACTTTGCCACAGTTGCGCATCCTTGTATTAACTTCTCCTTATTTACTGCATTATCTTCCCTTTAGACCTGACACCTTTGAATCTGACTCCCTCCTCATATTAACTATGCTAATTACTGAAATCCCTATCTGTAGAGACACAACAGTCAGGTTTTCCTTTCTTAAGCCTGTCTGCAGGAGATTAGACCTGCCCTGCCTAAAGACCTGCCAATGATGCAAATCTCACTGATCTAAATCCTGGAGCCATGCTCTACTGCTTCCGTCTCTATCTCTGCTCCGCTGTTCTATCCCCGGCTCTGTAACAGGCAGATGTCATTTCTCTCTCCTTACTAAAATGGTCTGAGCGTGACCTTTTTAAAAGGCAAGGGCAAAAAAAAAAAGCTACAAGTGGCTGCTAGCAGTAATAAGAGCAACAGCGCATCTTTTGTGCAATAACCAGACCCAAATTTAATTTATCACTTTTTTTATTTATTTGTTTTGTCCATGTGATCAGAAAGGTAAATTCAGAAAAAGTAAAGTTCTATAGTATAAAGTGCCTTTCTCTGGTAGCTACAACAGAATGAATAGGCCAATCATTTGAAACGCTTTAACATGCATAACTTTTTAAAGGGGGTTATGTAACCTGCAATTTTATTTATTCATTTATTTTTTTGATAAACTAAATAACCTATTCATGCTTTCATCCAAATCTATAGAGGCACTGCCACAGTTGAGGGGTAGAGAGAGGCACTTGTGCCACGAACACTCAAGCACTATATTAATTAGAGCAGATAAGGCTCTTTGAATTAGTCCACTAAAGCTTCATGAGGCATACTCGTGCTGCTTTAAATGGAAAGCATGGCTGTGATTCATACTGGCATGTTTGTGAACACAGCTTCTTCGCGTCGTCCATCTCTCTTATTTTATGTCACCTCTAGCACAGCTTACTACGCAGCGCTTGTCTTATCGCAAGACAGTTTGTATTTATGAGATGCAACGAAGTAGCCAAGTGCCACCTCATTAACAGAGTAACACTGTGCGATCAGTATAGCAGTGACTCTGATAGTCACACAGAGGACTGCTCAATGTGATTCAGCATGTGCGAGTGCGAATGGACACTATAAATTTCCCCTTTTAATTTTTCCTTGGATGGTTAGCTGAATGGATGGGGAAAAGAGATGAGTTCATAACCTGAATGGGAACAAATCAATTACATAGAATTGATGAACTGGCAATCTGTTAATTTCTTAAACATTTGATAATGCCCCTTAAGGAGCATTCTGGTTAATTAAGTCTGCAGTCATTT